CATAACATTTAAACTGAATGCCTTCCCTACTAGGCACCATACTAAGCATATTTGATCCATGCCGCACTTTGGAACCAAAAATCTGCAAAAATAAAGGATTTCGCAGGCTCTGGGAAAAGAGCTGCAATTACATTTTTAAATTACGATAATACTTGAATTAATGCTTATATATACATAAGTATACATATATATACATTAATCATAGAGAAGATATAATACATACATACATATACATATATACAATTAGTTGGCCAACACATAATACACACACAACACATACACAAAACTATTACACACACAACACACACAATTGACATACACAAACACACACACATTGGCTGGAACATACACACACAACACACACAACACATAGTTACTGGCTGACACATGCCACAACGATACACACACACACACACAACATATACAAAATTACAGGCTTTGTTAACACATGATGTTCATACACACACAAAACATGCTGTCATCATGTCATTTCACACTTTGGCTGCTGTCACCACAACGACACACACAAAACACAGCATACACACAAACATAAAAATTATTATAATATTATTGTTATTATTGAAGTATAGCAGATAGCATAACATATGTTGAAGGGCCATGTTGGATGTAAGCCATCAGTCTCCACACACACACACACACATATGACATATCATGGTTACACATTGTCAACATACACACACACACATATGAGTCAAGGCTGGCTGTCATTGGCTGGCTGTCAACACAACGAGCTGGCTGGTTGCCACACACACATTGAGCACTGGCCACACACAACGACAATTCACAGCCACACACACACACAAACATAACATATATATATGCTATAGGTTATTACATATATAGCATATATATAATACAACATATACATATTATGTTATTATAACATAATATAACATAACATATTGACATATTATTGGAGCATTACAGCATATTATATATAACATAACATATACATACATATATACATAACATAACATACATACATATTATTAATATATATTACATATATATATATATTATATAGTGGTGGTTAAGTACATATATATTATATATTATACATATATATAATATACATATACATATATATATATTATACATATATATATGGTATACATATACATGGCTACATAAGCATATGTTTCATATACCCATCACCTAAAAAAAAACACCCTGCAATTTTCCAAACTACGAAAATCACTATTTTACTGCGCAGACCGTGCTAAGTTACTTGACCCAAAATACAAAAGCTATTAAAGCCAATTCTTACCAGGAAAACATTCGGTTTTGATGTTATACATACTTTTAAAAAATTTAATGCAAAGAAAAAATTTTAGTTCGATAATGTAGACAATTATTAATTTTTTTGGTAAATTCTTTTTAAAATTTACAAAAGAAAAATTCTGTTAAATATTAATTTAAAAATTACTGCATATATATATATATAAATTGCTGTATTTATAAGTCAAAAAGAAACTGATTTTGAACATGTGTATGAAATTTCAAATCAGTATGATTAATAGTTTCTGAGAAATTCAGCAAGCAAACAATTTTTTTTCTTTTGAAAGTTTCTTTGAATTTACTAACAAAAACAAATTGTTTAAATAGGTTTATTTTTTTCTCGATAAGTCTGGAAGTTTTGGTAGTTTCATTAAAAATCTGGCACCAAAATTTTCAGGAAAAACGGAGCTCTAACAAATGGATGTTTTTTGAAAAATCGAATATTTTATAGTTTAAGGGTCCTGAGATCCCTTAAGAATCTAATGCTATGATCATTAGATTATCGTAATTCTAATATTTTCGTCAGAAATATTTCTTATGAGGAAGATTAATCTCCTTTGAAATTTCTTGAGTTAATAAAAAATTTTCCAATAAATTGTTCATTTGTATGTGCTAATTTTTCATCAGATAAAAACAATTTTTTTTCAGTTTCAGAATTTATTTATTAAATCATTTGAACTCTACCTTACGTATCTATTTTGAGCTCCATTTTATATGTCATACTGATTTATCATCTAGTTCGTTGGATCGTACTTATCCGCACTAGCGGGAAGGAACTTTTATGATGATATCTCGTAGTTTTTCAGGGTTTTTTTTTCTAATTAATTTGTTTATCTCTTTACATCTATCAATGGTATGACGTAGTAAACGAAGATTTGGGTTTGAGACACAGTTGAAATTTCAATTAAACACAAAGAACAATTCTGAATAACTCACGAGATTTGTTTTGAATGCACTTAGAAACCGCAATTACAGACGAACGCGTTTCTTGAGTAAACAAAGACCATAACTCTAAGTTTCCCACGTTCTCGAATTTACTTTCGACTGTCACTTAACCTCATCTCAACCGAAACAAGATCTCAAAAACTTACAAGGACTTCTAAAATATCTCTTTTCTTTCCGGTTTGATTGTATATTTCTCTATTCATACTTTCCTGGAATCGTTTTTGGAATTTAGAACATCGGTTCTTTCTTTTTCACTCAGAAAAAACGATTCCTAACAGCTACTGTTGTCCTTGTTCCATTTCTTACCGACGGCATATCTGCTCACTAGGGGGCGTTGTTTACCGGAAGTTCCGTAGCTCGCGCGTGAGGTCAAGGCTTATTCAGCGGAGCGTGCGATTTGGGAAGCGTAATTAAATCTGTCGATGTTTTTCGAACAGAGCGAGTGGCAATAGACTGATCTGATTGTAGTGATAAGGCCAATGGCCAAAGTGTGTGTGATGACCTTGACGGAATTGCATTGTGTCGCGTAATGGACAAGTTTTTTTAATGTAAAAAAAGCTGATTGGGTGAGATTCTCATGTCAGATATTGGAATTTATGAAAATAATTAAATGTGATAAGCGTAATTAAAGGATTAATTTCGAAAACTGCCCTTAGTAAATATTTTTCGTATTTATACTAGACGTTTTTGTCAACGCAACAGGTATCATGGCAACGCGGAATTAGCATTGAAATTTGTCAAAAAATTACATTTTTTTATGATGAATTTCTCCCTCAAGTTGGAGGACTTTTACATTCGTCAACCGCGTCTGATATTAATCATGAAAGGTAAAAGTTTGTTTGAAATGAAATTGATTTAAAACAGGAAATTTTAATATTTTATTGGCCCCATTAATCCTTTCTTTAATAAACCTCTCACGAACCGCATCTTTAATTCATATACATATGACATACACACAATCATGCGTAACATAAAATTACAAAGGGAACCTGTTAGCAATATTGAAAAACAGTGAATATAATAAAAGCGATCGCACAAGAAACGTTTTTTTTTTTAGGTACAGGAAAAGGACAAATAATTGTGCATTAACAATGATAATAATTAATTAATATTAGTACATATCCTAAATCTTGACAATACGTAAACTACTTTAATATTTTGAAAACTAAGAGAAGAAATAAATTAATGAAGACATCCATAGTGTAGAATGATAATTATTTTGAATAAAAACTTCAAAACTGTAGTAAGTTTTATTCTGTGTGATGACAGATGCAACTAATACTGCTGTATTTAGTTGCTACATTCATACTTTAAAAAAAATCGAATTAATTGTCACTGAAATAGAGTAAAATGATGAATGAATGGTCAATTTTTCTCATTAATTCCCAAAGAACTCTTGATAACTTTTCAGTATTTTCAAAGATTACCTAAGACTGGTTAAGAGCATTTGATTAATGCCGCTTTATATATTAGATATACACAAATTATTCAGGACAAAGGACTTCGCAAATTTCAAATACACAAGTGATGAGAATGACTCTTTAGTTCGCTCGTTATTCTATTTTCTATATCACACCATTAGCAGCCTTTGATTCTAACATATCTCATCTTGTTGGATTTATCATATAGTAGCTTCTATCCCATTAACAATGCAAGAATTTGTAAAAGCTTAATAATCAAACTGATATGTCTGTGACAGTGTGTGTAAATTTAAGGGTGATAGAAAACACCTAAACAGCAATTTTCACCATACACTGTATATTGGGAGAGCAAGCTGTTAAACAATGACAATGTAATTACGAAAGACTGTGATAAAAAGGAACTCTTACCTCTTCACATTAAATAATAGAATTAAAAATTTAGTGTTATTAAATATTGTTTCCAAATTAAACTTCACATTTGCTTCTGATTTAAAATATCAGAATTTTATTTTGCATGGGTTTTTTTCATTTGTTCTTTTCATCTTCAAAATTAAATTTCTAAAATGGCCAGAAAAAAATCCATAGATGTTATAAGCAAATATCATATAAAAAAAGCATTAAACTATTTCAAAAAAGGAACCACCATCTGTACCCACCAGGTTTCGAACCTGGGACCTTCTGCGTGTTAGGCAGATGTGATAACCACTACACCATGGGTACAACTACCAGCAAGAGAAAATATACTTTCTGACCAAATTTCTAGGAAAAAGCTCTTGAAGATAAATATATATATATATATATATATTAGCCTTTTATTTAGGAGTTGATAAAAGTAACTCAAGATATGGTTTCGAAAGACTTTATTTTTATGTTTTTATTTCTCTCGCATGAGTATAATCTGATGAATTATAAATGATAAATTTATGTTAATTATCAGGTCGAAGTATTTCTCAAAAAATACTTCAGTCGACTGAGGATTTAAAAAAAGCTGAAGTACTTTTGGGCTCCATTAGATCACTTAACCTATATGTATTGATTCTTGATATTATGTAATAAAACTAGACATAAAAGAATGAGGTTAAGCGATTTTTCCCCATTTAGAGTGAACTATTTTTAAATACTTTTACTTCAACATTTCAGCGAGGTGTTTTTTTTTTGGTTTTGTATATTATCAATGATTTTTCAGTGTACCCTTTTCGGTTTCTCTGATGCAAACGGAAAAATTAATAGCATCAATACATTTTAAGTATTGCTCAAATTAAAACCTTATTCCTTTACTAAATTGCTTTTGATCAAAACATACGTTTTTTCATTTCGCTCACACACTGCAGCTTTTATTTAACATGGGGCTCGAACCCACGACCGCGAGATTATAAGAGTCTCGTGCTCTACGACTGAGCTAGCCGGGCGACAAGAAATGCTGAATATTGCTTTCGATATTCATATATCTAAATAAAACTTTTACAACCCCAATATTTGGCATTAGGAGTCTCCACCAACAGTGTAAAAAGCACTACTCCACAACATCACGTACCTCTTTTTTGTATGCACAGATAAATTTCCTTTATAGAAATAAAATATTCGGAAACTTTTCTTTTTACTTTATTCATTCATATTTCGGTTTTCTGCTCTGGAAGTCGAAAGACTGTTACAGGCAAAGTTTCCCGAGAAGACACGTGAGAAACCGAAACATGTTCGTACGATTGCATCGGTGCCTGTGTGAAACGGGATCCTTTGTCAATGGCATGCATGATACAGGGACTGTCAGGAGTTTGCGGGCACTACAAGTTGAAGAAGACATTCAGCAAAGAGTGAAAGATCGTCTGGATATAGCACGCGAAAGGTTTCAAGTGCCGTAAATGTGCCCCACTTGATTGTTTGGCGATTACTACGGAACGAAGGATTGCACATCCCTACCACGTACAGAAAGTACAAGCATTAATGCCTTCGGATTATGCGTCACGTATCGAGTTTGCACGTTGATTTTTTGCAACAGCTATCAGCGCAGCCTGATTTTAGTACACATATGTTATTCGGGGATGAATGCACATTTACTCGTGAAGGCATTTCTAATACACCCAACCTTCATGTGTGGGCATCTAGCAATCAGTACGACACACGTCCTCATGCGTGTCAGAAGCGTTTCAGCGTAAATGCTTAGGCTGGAATTGTGGGTGACCATTTGATCGGCTCATACCTTCTGCCATCCCGATTGGAAGGCAGAACGTATTACACATTTTTGCAAGAGGTATTGCCAGAGTTAATTGAATCTGTTACAGCTAATATACAGGCACATATGTGACTCCAGCACGATGCAACACCGTCCCTTTTCATCTTGGATATGATGAGCGCTTTAATCATTAAATTCCTGGAGAGATGAATTGGTCGGGGTGGACATACACCTTGGCGGCACGCTCACCCGATCTCTCTTCTGGACTGTTTCCTGTGAGGCCATTTGAAAAGGCTCGCTCACGAAAGCGATTTAGTTGACTCCGAAGAGGATTTAGTTGCCTGGATTTCTAAATACATTGAAAAGTGCACTGCTCGCTACATCGCAAGTGTAACGCCTGCATTACCACAGGCGGTCATTCTTTGAAAAGTTTTTATAATTTTTCGTTTCAATACGGACGTGTTTTGTGAGGTATATTCGCATTTAGGTAATATTTTAAAGAAAACTATTATACAATATGGTTCCAAATTTCTTAAGTTTCTATATAAGGTACTTATGCATATAGTTAACCTGATATTTTTTCTCTAAATAATACCTAATTTTTAAGAAATAATTTTTATATAAAAAAGGAATAAAAATAAAAATTTCCAAAATTACGAAGTTCTTTTATTTTTTTCAAAGAAAATGTAGAGTAGTGTTATCAAAAAAGAAGGTTCACTATATTTTGTGTATTATTTTCTGTATTACGAGTAAAATATTTTGTATATTTATGGAATATTATATTGTATCTGAATGCAAATGTATCTGAGAAATCATGTCCATTCAACTCAAATAGAAAGAAAAACTTTTTGACCCAAAAAATACTTTTATAATCTAATAAAATGAGAGAAATATTATTATTAGGGGCACAAAAAAATTCCTAAGCTGCACGAATAATTTTTAAGACGTAATTTTACAAAAAGGAAGTGTCTTAAACTCGGAATTTTATTTTCCCTCTCAGGTCCTGGTACCCTTAAAAGTGACAGAAAATCTATCCAGCAGATGGTCAAAACAAATTTGTGCAACAAGAGTAAAATTTCAAATAATCCAAATAAACAGCATTTTTCAAAAAAAAAAAAAAAAAAATCAATGCCATTAGCGATTAAATCAGCAATATATAGTAAAAAGTTATCAGAATAACCATTTTACTCAACCAATTAAAATTGTAATACATGACTCAATCACAAAAATCATAAGAGTATTTTTCAGAGATTTCAAAAAAAAAAAAAAAAAAAAAGAAAAGAAAAGAAAAGAAAACCCACAGCCATTTTTATTTATTTTTCTTTTCTCTCTGTCAGTGAAGCGTACAGTGAAATGCTGATAATTCAACCATTTTTTTTTATATATATATAACTAGACAACCTTTTAAATTCTTCTGATTTTTTTAGAATTGTGGTTGTACAACCTTTCGAAAACATACCAACGCCTTCACAATTTTTTAAATGTAAGAGGTAGAATGAAATTCATATAATATCATTTTTTGGGAATTTTCCCCCTTGAGAGGTATCCTAAAAGTTGCGAAATATTTTGATTGTTATTCTTTGTCGTTTCTTATTTCTCTTAACTTTCTCTTGTATGTAATGTTTAAAATTATTGATACTTACAGATTTCAGACAAAATTTCTCGTACAATTCAAAAATGTCGAGTCAAGTGTTGGTGCTGAAAAATAATGTTTTTTGACATTTGTACAGGTAGAAGCATTTCTACATTTATCAATCCTTTCCTTTCAGAGGTTTTTATTTACAAAATCATCGATTTCTTACATTAAACAATAATGTAGTTCTTCATATATTTTTATAATTTTCTCCAGTATTCTTATCAAGAGTATTTAATCACACAGGCACAAGTGTGTTAGGAATGGGACAAGAGAATGGGGTAACTCACAGTAATATTTGTTGTCCAATGATCGTTTTTCCTTTTCTTGAGAAGTCTAAAAGTATGACGCTTTAAGCATCCCAAAATCATTCTCGGCCAATGAACCATCTCCGCCTACTTTGGAGCAGATTTCCTGGATGCACATTTTTATCCTGATTGTTGATTGATTTCCTGTGATGGGGAATCCAGGTCTCATCGATGAGAACAACTCGACGTAATATGACGATAATAACTCGACTTTGCAGCAATCAAAACTAACGGATGAACCAGTGTCAAATTTAATTTGAGCACCCATTAGCTTGCCTTAACAACTCCATCTGTCGTCCAATACGGATACTTTTTGAGCCACCGATGTAAATCTACAGGAAGTGCAACTTAGTTATAACATATCTTAAGACTGTATTAAAAAATAATGAAGCTTTCAAAGAAGATAACTTTATAATGTGTTAGATATAAAGAATTTAAATAAACTTCTCTGTTCTACAGCATATTTACCACAGAAAACCACTGTATTTTCAGAGGCAGCGATAGAATTCTACTGGCATTTTTTTAGATGGGTTACAAAACATATACAATGATTACCTAAGGGAAAAAAAATATTGTTAAAATAAATGAGAAATGTATTTCTGCAATTGGGAATTTACTCCATAAAAGAAAATGGTATTCTCTGATTTTTCTCCACCTCGGTTTTAGAAGTAATAGTTTGTTTTTGGTATATTTTCGAGTTAATATGTGGCAGCAAGAGTCAACTTACGCATTGCGTACAGTGGACGAACTAGAAAAAGTCAAGCAAGACCCTCAATTGCTTTCCCTCTTTTTAAAGTGTTCATAAGACTGAACTGTGTTTATTTATTTCATTTGTTGATTATGCTTACTTAATTCTTAATCTAACTCAGGAATCAAATTCAAATTGAGAAATAAAAACTTAGAGTACCATAGATAGCTCGTTCCCTGTTCTAGTTACAATAAAAAATTTGTAAGTAAAAAAAACAAAATAAATACTTTTAAAAATTTTGGTTTAGATTACCTATTCAGGTACGCTATTTTGTGCGTTAAGTTATGACAGGAAGAGGAACGTGTCACTGATTATATATATACGTAGTACATGTAATATGTATATTTAAGTGCATGCAGTCAGTGGCACGTGCCGCCAATGAGAACATACACAGTTTTACTATTATAATGAGACTGATACTGAAAATCATTTTATTTCGATTTCATATATACTTACTCATTTTCACCTTCAATATACACCCCTCCTCTATCCCTGCAACATTTCTTGCGAATCTTCATATGTTCGAAATAGTGCCTTAAGTCTTCTGTCTGTTCCTTCAGGACACATGCCGCATTCCTTTTCATAGCTTCAACGGACTCAAACCTTGTTCCTTTTAATGCAGATTCCACGTTAGAAAACATATAGAAGTCACTGGTGCAAGATCCGGCGAAAGAGGTGGATGATCTAACTCTTGGATATTGCACACTTGGCAAGAAACCTCTTGACAGACAATGAGGAATGACTTGTCATTCCACAATTCGGGTCATTTTTTTCCTTATTCATTCACGGAGTTTAGCAAGAACGTGAAGAAGGCAGTAATGTTGATTAATAGATCCACCTTTAGGAAATCAGTGAAGGTATACAATCCTTTGAATATCGGGAAAAAAAACTAATCACCATTGCTTTGAATTTTGATTCGCTCATTCGGGTTTTTATTTTTTGGCTCTAGGTGAAAATTGGCTCCAGTGCTTGGATTGGTGCGTCGTTTCAGGATCATAAGTAAAAACCCATGATTCGTCACCCGTTATTATCTTTTCCATTAAGTTTAGGTCATTTTCTAAGGCATTCACAAAGTATCAGTACACACATTTTTGCAAGCATCTTGTTGTTCAAATGTAAGAATTTAAGGCACCATTTTGGATTACATTTTTTGCATGTTAAAATTATTTTTTTTTTTTAAATATGCCTTTCGGATTCTTTGTCAATTCATATAGTTGTAGCAATTGCACAAATGCTTAATCGACGGTCAGATCGAACCAGATTACCGATTTTCTCGATATTGTCATCCGTTTTTCAGGTAGACGGGCGACCCGGGAGTGAATCATCTTGAACATCTTCTCGGTCTTCTTGAAAACGCTTGAATCACTAAGAAATACGTGCACACCCATTAAGCATTCATTATCACACACTTCTTTCAATGTATTATAAATTTCAGTAGCGGATTTTCCCAAATTTCAGTGTGAGATCTCACAACAATTCGTTGCTCTATTCTAATACTTATCATTTTCCAGGCAAAAAAAAAAAGCTTTAATGAGAATGACGGCTA